GAGATATTTCTAAGCTGAATATAATATATTTTACTGAATATCGTCAATTGCACAATAAAATTGCATTTCTTTCAGAATGTAATACTTTGTCAACTTTTTTGAAGCAGTCCACTTGGAGTCATGAAATATTCTATGTACTTTTAAAAATCATGACTACTTTAACCCCAAATTATCTACTTATTGGAACATTTTGCGATGAAGAAGTTAAAATGACAAATATGAACATATTTCATTCAAATATGGGGCTGAATGTAATATTTCTTACCAAATATCACTGTTATCGGTTGCATATTACTGTCTTTGGAGATACTTTAATTGAAATCAGATAAAACTATGCGGAACGGAGATATAAACCAGCAATTTACTTATGTAACAATATTTACATAACGTGGTTGATTGGTATGCAATAGGAGGCATGTACCTTAAGGAGCCTAACCTAAAACTTTTCCAACTTCCACCAAGAGCAATAGACCTCGTTCCTGTACAAAACAAGTCAATATCTACAAAGCTAACATAGATATTAGTGGAGGAAATCTCAATTTCATAATTTGCAACACTAATATCTTCGGAACAACAAGAGATATCAACACCTAAAGCACCTTTTTGGAAAGGCCAGATTGGTTACATGTAGTATGCAATTTCTAATACCCCATAATGGACCCATTTTCGACTTTTTATGTGTTTTTCAAAATGTTTCGGTACAAAAATACCAATTTTTTGTATTACTCCGGAACCGATTGAAACCGACCCATCACATACCACGTTTTAGAAAGGTATTTCCATAAGCTTTCAAATGATACCCATTTTGTACATTTCAGTTGTGTACAACCGGATAAAACCCGGATTTTGTATCCGAACTTCCGGGTCGTATAACCGGGTAACCGGATATTTATTTATTTATTTATTTGTATTCACTTCCCCACAAAAAAAAAATACCTTGTCATAATCAGGTTAAAAAGATCTAATCGTGGTAAAAATTTCAGGTCAATCCGAGCATAGACCCTAAACTCAACTTAAGCCTTAAATATACCGTAAAGGCCTCTTTTATACAACGAGACTAGACATGTACCCTATTAGCACAAACATTTACTCCATGATTTGGAACAATCAAATAATCTCCCTCCTGAACTTTACTTAAAATCACATCAGATTCTCACCATTCATCCTTAACTACGGCCTCCTTTTCTTCTTCTTTTGCTTCTTTCCATTCCTTGGCTTTTAGCTTAGCCTTTTTGGTAGCTGCCTCCTTGAGTGGCGTTGCTGCCAGTCGAAGCTTCTTGTTACTGACTACCGGCGGTGCTACAACTACCGCCGGTGCTGTTTCAATTTCAGCTTTCCTCTTACGATTTAATAGCTTATTGGAAGCTGGTGGTGGCACCACCGGTATCTCCTCCTTAACTTCAAGTTTCGGTTTTGGTTCGACAACTGGCTTCTTGACAACATTCTTAAGACCCAATAATTTTCTTGTCTGTTCATAAGTGGCATAACACATTTCACGGAACTCATAGAAATCGTTCACTTTGTCGACACACAATGTACACATGGTCTGCGGCATACGATCGTCCTTTGTTATCTGAAATCGCAAAATCGTATGGTTGGTGAATGCAGGAAACACAACAATACAACACCAAAATACACTCCCCACACCTCTATATGCACTGCACTGTACAACAAAAACATCGCACACTCGCATATATTCTCCCCCCTACCTACCAGTAATCCAATAAGTACATTGATTTTCTGGGACATCTCCGGCTCGGCATCGACATCAACTCCTTCATCGTCTTTAGCATTTTCAGGCTTATCATCTGACAATATGGGCACCATATCTGGATAATCCATTCCGCACAAACGACAAATTTTATATAAATTTGCCTTTAGCTTCCTATCAATTTTAATGGCAAAACGTTCCATTGTGATTCCGTCTCCGTGTATACCCGTATACTTGGAAAATTTTGTCCAACAAATTAATGAGTTTATAATTAATGCAATCTCATTGATATTGCATTGTGGCTCATAATTGTTTCATTATTTATTTAAATTAATGTTTCTTTTTCATATTTGGTAAGGAGTAGTATTTTGTAAATTTTTTTCCACAAATACACAAGCAACCCTAAATTTTTCATTGACAGTTTAAATGTAAATTGAGTACCCGCATTGCCAACCTCATTGAATGGTTTATTGTGCGCATAACCATATTGTATAATTTTGAATAATCTATTTTCCAGTAAGCAGCACTATGACTTTTGAAGCGAGTAGGAATTACCAATGTGTGTGTAAATGTAGTTCACACGAATATAAACATGACAAAATCGAAAAGGTAGCTTAATTTCGACAGCTTTTTCGTTTCAAATAGGCTTAAAGTACGTTTACTGTATTAAAGATTTACACACTGGAGGATATAAATATCGCTCAGCGGATTTTTTTATTAATAAACACATACCTAACCAAAGAAGAATACATGGTACAATTAAGATGATACCCTCATGTCCAACAAACATATCCCCTGGGGCTGAATTCTTGTTCTATGAAAAATATTTCTTTTATAAATTTTTTCATCTAACATTTCTTTCCTTTATAAAAGTTTTCATTTCACATTTTCATAGATCAAGAATTGAGGTTCTGGTCTGAATTGTTTGTATCTTAAGGTGCAAGTACATAAGAAGCTTGAAGTCATGGTTAGGCATATTTTGTGACATTTCATAAAGGGATTACAGAGCCGCACTAAAATCCTGCCGTCGTTGTCCATTACAACTTGACATTAATATGCCTAGCCTTGACTTCAAGCTTTTTATGTACTTGCGCCTTTACATCCTCAAATTATATTGCAGAGACTTCTGGTTTCCATTGCTGATTTGTGTGTATATATGGAATGGAATATATGAATACACCTTGATTTCATTGTACCTTGATTGAAACCCTTGGTACCACAGAAATGCAGAAATAAAACTACGGAAATACCGCTATGAGCATGGCAGAAGAATACAGGCACAGCTTGGGAGTATTGATATGTCAAAAAATGTTAAATGTTTTTTATTTGTATAATGTTTTTCAACCATTTTTACAAATTTAAATAATTTTTCATTCAATATTTTCTAAATGCAACAAGTTGTTTTCATTTATTTGATATTTCTAATAATTTTTTAGTTGAGGTAAATAGCGTAAAAAAATGAAATGCTTGCTTTTTCATTCAAAAATATGATCCAAAGGACTCAATCTTTCATTTCCATCGCAAACTGGTAAATATCGCCAATGCGCGCCCGCAATGTTCGATTCTTCCATTATGATATCGGAAAAAATGCAGGACTAGTAGATTCTTGCAGGTTATGGAACAGAGGAAAAATTGGCCGAAGTCGGGCACATTTAGAAAAAATTGTAATCAGCTACCCTACCTTTTTATGGTACTTTTTATGTGGTAGTAAAATGCATATCTGTTTTGGATCTGTTTGTCTTGTGTAAACGCCACTCTGCAACACTCTACTATTTTTGCAATTTGTTTGTCGATATCATGAATGGAAAATTGGTTGTCATAGTAAAAATTTTACATTCTTGCATGGTACAATATGGAGATAGAACAGCTTCGTAAAACTACAGAAATACAGTCCCGATGCCCGCTTCCGGTCAGAATTATTCAAAATTATATCCAACAAGTTTTTTATATATTATAATGATTATAATGAGTTAAATTGCGCGAAATGTGAATGAAATGCCTGCATGTTCTCTCAAAAATGTGATCCTAAGTGGTCAATCTTTCAATTCCGTGGCAAATCTGGTTAATATCATTAATGCGCCCCGAATTCAATTTGTTTTTATTTTTCAAAACAATAAATAAATATACTAAATTGGCAGAAGTCGGCACACTTAGAAAAAAATGTAATCAGCTGGTAGCTCTAACTTACCTTTTTTTGTACTATGCATTCTTGAATTTCTGGATATACTTATATTTGAAAAGAGATTTAAAATTTTTTTGACATGTCAATGTTCCCAAGGGTTGATACATCTACCCGTATTCTTCTGCCATGGAACAGACCATAAGTCACATGGTAGAAATACCAGGTAGCAACATAGGCGAAAATTACAACAAAGCAATTTTTTTAGAAACTTGATATGTCAAAGTTTTAACCAGGGCGAATTTATTTGAAGTATAAAATTTTGGGCAAATTGGTTTGCACCAATCAGAATTCTTCATTCTGAAACATTGAATAAGTTTGTTTTGGTTTATTCATATGTATATATTAGTTGAGATTAGTATATTTTTTAACATATAAACTGAAAATACTACAATAACTGGAAGTGTATACGTATTATACCATCAGTCATATCGCATAAGATATGTGATATGGTAGGGCATAACAACTTCTTTGTCATTTTTATTTATTCCAGCCTCACACTGAAGCATCCTCCCGACTTCTTTGCATTGGGCTCCGCTATATATACACCGTATTTTATATATTTAATGTATATTCTCACTTTTAGCAAATACGTACCCTGGACATTTCTTTTTTGAACCACCAGAATAGAATTGATACATCTCTGGTACAGCGCATGGTAATAATTTCATTCTACAACTTATGCCCGTTATATACTTTGGGTTGAAGTGATGAGAACATATTTTGGCGTTTGGGTTTAAAGTGATCCCACAAATCGCACTCCACTTCAACCTCTTCGTCTCTTCCTTGGGTACATTGAAAAATTTTGCTTGTCGTTCACTATCCTTTCTTTTGCAAACAGCACAGCACCTCATATTCTGTTTTTTTTTTTTTTTTTATTTGAATTATATCACAAAATTTGATTTTTATATTTTTGTGTTTATTTTTTCCTCTATGATGTTTGAATACATAACAGAAGTATTTCTACGGCGAATTCGAATTACAACAACTTCTTTGACATATCAAGTTGACTACAGCTGGCCTGAAAGGGTTACCTTGTAATTCTACCATGATAAGTCACCTCTACTTCATATATTCGATTACCAAATTACTCAATACGCATTTGCAATAACAATCATTCTATAACCACAAAAACCTCATCACTACTATTTAGTGTTGTCAAATAGTTGACACAACTTGTCAAACACGCCGATATTGCATAAAAATGGCGTCTGCTGAAGAAGGAAACGTTTTACAGGAAAATGAAAATTCGGGTAAGTTTTTTGATAGGCAGGATCGCAACAAAATATCCAAAGTGTCTTCTTTGCGTCCACGTATATTTCGTAAATGAAATTTGTAAAATATTAATGAAATACAGAGGGAAAAAAGACACCCATGACAACCTCGACGCACATACACACATGTATTGTGTGTGACAGCTTTGTAAGCAACGTGAGATAGAATTTTGTGTGTAACTGCTGAGAACTAATGTATATATGGACAATAATTATATACTCATTAAGAAAACGGTGTGGTAATAATATTTAATTTATTTTATTTGAAGGACGCCGAACACGTTCTGGAAGACGGTCCTCAACAACAATACATACCCAAGCATCACCTGCTAGAGCCACCAGGCGTACAAGGAAATCCCAACGGGAACAAGAGGAGGTAAATATAATGATAACCCGATACTTAAACTGCTTGATAAGAATCTTGAAAATAGTGATGAACACTTTTGCATTTACAGTCGTGTGCATATGTGGCGTTGTTCCATATGCATATGATTAATTTCTTACAATGTCTATTGCATTGAGTTGGAATAGAAGTTGAAAGAAATTATGTGATTATTTGCAAGGGCCATCTGACTTCAATTTTCTAGAAAATTATGTGAAATATGTGTACTTACACCTATTTTTACAACTAACCACAAACATTTTTGATATTGTTTTAGTTGAACGAATTGCCCGGCGAAGAGAGGGGAGACGATCGACAACAAACCGAAGATCAAGAACAGCAATCAAACTTTATTGCCGAGATGATAGCTGAGGCTGCACAGGGTGTTGGATTAATTGATAATGAACAAGACCGAAGCCAGTCACAGCAACAGCAAGTAGCCACAAATGTAGAGGAGGAAACAAATTATGTTTCTGGGGAAGAAAATGCTATTATTTTGTCCGATGCTAATCTAGATGAAAAATCTTCTTCGTTTCCATTCGGACCTGAAGGTGGCCATTCAGAAACTTCGGAAGATTTGGCTGACAATCAAGAAAATGATAAAGTCAATACTGATGAAAATCAACAGAATGCGCAGGAAAACTCTCTACTTGCTTCCTTAGCAGGAGACAATGCCAACAGTTTGCCTTCGGTTGGCGGCGGTGATTCTGAAAAAGAAAACTTTGAAGCAAAGGTTCTTAATCACAATGATGTCATAGACAATTGTGAAAAAATGGATTCAGAAGATTCCTTGTCAGAGCCTGCCATTGTAAGTGACATTCCCATGTCCGGTGGTGATATAAGTGATGCTACCATACAAAACACGGAAATAATTTCGGAAGACGAACTTCCCCTGCCCACCAAACCGGAAATTAATGACGCCGAAGAAGTGTCAGATGAAGAATTACCAGCGCCACAACGTGCTGAGCTACCGCCTGACGCTGAAGTTATATCCGAGGATGAATTACCAGCGGCCGCTGAAAAACGTAGTCCCTCGCCCAATGAAAGTTCAGCTAAAAAACGAAAGGTCCAGGATGGATCTGGTAAAGAAGAAGTTGATTCGGCATCAACTAAGAAAGATGAAGAATACAATCCCATGAGCCCAACTAGTGAAAGTAACGACTCGCCAGGTCCCACTGAAAAGAAGGCTAAAATTGAGGGTGGTAGGTATTTAAAAAGTTTTGTGTTTGATAGAAATTAGTAAACAACTTCTAATTTTAGAAACAGAGACCAGGGACAAAGATAGACACAGAGAAAAGGAACGCGAAAAAGACAAGGAACGAAGTAGTTCTGGCAGCAGCAAGGATAAAGAGAAAGATAAGGAACGTGAAACTGATAAAGAAAAAGAACGGAAGAAACTACCAGATTTGGATAAATATTGGCGTGCCGTCAAAACCGATCCTGCCGATTTTACTGGTTGGACATATTTACTTCAATATGTAGACAATGAGGTAGGTACTTATGCAAATTTGTAGAAACATAAAGTTCATTTTTATTGTGTATATTTTTCACATAGTCTGACGCTGAAGCAGCCAGAGAGGCTTATGATGCATTTTTGTCACATTATCCCTATTGCTATGGTTACTGGCGTAAATATGCCGACTATGAGAAACGCAAGGGTATCAAGGCGAACTGCAATGCGGTGAGTACATTCAGATCACAATCAAATACAGTTTTTGAAATACGTTGTATTTTGCATAATGGAATTTATTATATATTAATAAAATATTCGTTAATAAATAAAAAAAGTAAAAACAAACCAAGAAAACATTCAACAGAAACTTTCAACAATAACAGAGAAGAGGTGACCGGATGACTGGAATTCGGATTTTGTTCGGATTTTTTATTTAGTTTTTATTTTATATACATATACATGAAAGTGAACAGACTTGTATAAAAAATATAAGGATACTTTTGGGATTTTGGTGCTACTTGAAAATGTGTTCGGTGTCTTTTTTTTTTCATTTACAAATTCATTTTGCAATTTCGATCGTTTAGAACTGCACGTTTTTATTTATTTTTAATTTTCCAACAATTTTTGATAAAAAAAATAGTATTTCGTTTTTCAAAAAGAAGTTTGTGTTAAAATGAAAAAGAACTGAAATATAGTTAAAAATTACAAATAACATTTACAATTCAGGCGTAAGTACAAATGGAGTTTAAAGTGAAATTATATTATACAAGCAAGTTCTTACAATTTGCTTCTATGGAATAAGTTAGTTTATGCTGATATAACTATTTTAAATAAATTATTTTTAATTACTTGCTGAAATCACAGCCCTAAAGCGCAGTCTACATTAAGACAATTAAATTGTATATGTGTGTTGTGTGTGAGTTATAACAAAATCATTTGTAACACATTCCTCGTGAATCTTATAATATCGTAAAAGTGCAATTTCATGCGTTAAATTGTGTGAAATGAAAGTGCCGTAGGACGTTTGAATAAAATTGGGAAACAAATGTGCATAGATAATCTTGTAACATCGAAAAATTAAATTCAGATTCGTTCAGCTCTGTTGAAGTACTACTCCACTTTCCTGTTATGAGGATTAAAAGCTTATCATCTTCCGCCACATATGGGCTGGGAGAAGCATTTAAATCCAAAAGCTTAATACTCGATTTCCGGCATATTTTTGTGATAATTAATCAAAACTTAACGTATGTTCACATTTATATAAAATTCATAAGGTTTCTAAATGTGAATATGGTCTAAATCCCAAACATCTATAATTTCTTTTTTGAAATAGATTCAAAATCAAGATGAATCGTAAGACGCATACAGGGTTATTTGGAACTATTCATAGATTTGCATACTTTCCCCCGTTTGAACATTACAAATATTATGTTAAAAAATGAGACTTTTATTGGCGTTTTACAAATCCAAAGAGAGATTTTTAGTATTTAACATGAATTTGTTTCTATTGAGAAAAAAATCCATGGATCAAGGGCTAAATCATATATTTCTTGTTTCAAAACTTAATTGAATTTGCCGATATTTTAAGATTGATGAGATAATATCTTATGTATCCCCAACCTATCACTTTTACCAGTATTTCATTATCCGTAATTCTCTTATACAAGCACACACACACATTAGCACATACAAACATTGCAAATTGTCTGTAGACTCACTACTACCACCCACCCTTAAAAATGAATAAGACAGTTGCAAAACAGTTAAGTATCCGTGAAGTACATATTCCACTAAACACATATCAAAAATCTCTTTTTTCTCTTTCTGGTTTCTTTTCAAACAATCTCCCCGACCTCCCCTTAAAACATATCTCCTCACAACCATTTAAATATCGAATCAAATAAAATTTAGGTATTTGAACGTGGTTTGGAGGCAATACCTTTGTCGGTGGACTTGTGGATACATTATTTATCACATGTTAAGAGCACACAATCCGATGATGAAGCCTACATACGATCGCAGTTTGAACGGGCGATACAAGCCTGTGGCTTGGAGTTTCGTTCAGACAAACTTTGGGATGCCTATTTGAAATGGGAGAGTGAAGCCAAAAGGTATAAACACATGGTTGGCATATATGACCGTTTGCTGGCCATACCCACGCAGGGTTATAGCGGTCACTTTGACAAGTAAGATAAACTGGATTTTAAATCATAAAACAAAGAAAATTCACATTTATTTTTTTAGTTTTCAAGATTTAATAACTCAACACTCCCTCACAAGCACCATTAAGCCCGAGGAAATAATAAAAATTCGTGGCGAGTTAAAAGAATCATCCTCTTCGTCAAAATCATCTTCGTCCAAGTCAAAGTCTCGTCGGGGTAGTTCAAAAGATAAGGAACATGAATCATCGTCCAGGGATAGGGACGCAAAGGATGAGTCATCGGCCAAAGATACAGAAACTGGTTCTGCGGAACCAATGGCTGTCGATGCTCCCACCGAGACCAGCGATATTGAAGAAAAGAAATCATCTACTGAAGATCTCAGCGATTTGTCTACCCTGACCGATGAAGAAATGTCATCAATAAAAGATAAAGTCATATCAATACGACGTAAATTACACAAAAGCACAGTGGCCGCTGTAACTGCCCGCTGGACCTTCGAAGAAGGCATCAAAAGACCCTATTTCCATGTAAAACCACTGGAAAGATGCCAACTGAAAAACTGGAAAGACTATCTCGACTTTGAAATTGAAAAGGGCGATCGTAAAAGAATATTGGTTCTGTTTGAACGTTGTTTAATTGCATGTGCTTTGTACGATGAATTCTGGCTGAAGATGATACGTTATTTGGAAACAATACTACATGAGCCAGGTATACCGGCGATTTTAAGCGATGTTTTCCGACGGGCATGTGAAATACATCATCCCGACAAGCCCAGTTTACATCTAATGTGGTCTGCCTTCGAAGAATGCCAGTCGAATTTCGACAAAGCTGCTGAAATTCTAGTAAATTTGGAAAATAGAGTACCAAATCTGCTACAGGTGGCCTATAGGCGCATTAACATTGAACGTCGTCGTGGCGATAATGAAAAATGTAAAACATTGTATGAACACTATATAGCCACAGCAAAGAATAAGAATATTGCCGGTAGTTTGGCCATCAAATATGCACGATTCTTGAACAAGATATGTCACGACTTGGAGGCTGGCCTGAAGGTGTTACGTCAAGCCTTGGAGAAAGATAATGCCAACACTCGGGTAGCCTTACAAATGATAGATTTGGCCTTGCAAAGACCCATTGTGGACGAAGATGAAGTAGTGCTAATTATGGATAAGTTTATGGCACGTGAAAATATCGAACCAGAACAGAAGGTGCTGTTTGCCCAACGTAAAGTGGAGTTTTTGGAGGATTTTGGTAGTACGGCAAAAGGTTTGCAGGAAGCCCAAAGAGCTTTACAATTGGCCTTGAATAAGGCCAACGAAGCCAAAAAGAAGCGGTAAGTTGTGTAGTGAAATTATCAAAATAGGATTCTATTTTTGTATATGATAAAGTAATATTTTTAAAGTATTTTATATATTATATAAATGTATATACTAAATGTTTCTTTCCTTATTACAGTGACTCAAGTCCCAGTCGAAAATCAACAGGTCATAAAGATGCCTCTGCCACATCTAGCGCTGCGCAGTCAGGTTATAACAATGGTTCCTCGGGAGCATCGGGTAGTTATTATGGTTCTAACAATTCAGCAGCATATTATGGCCAGCAAAACAGCGGTTCATATCCCCAACAATCATCGTATGACAGTTACTATAACCATTGGCAGTACAACACCGGTTATAGCGGTTATGGCCAATGGAGTGGCTATACCAATTATTATTGAAAATCCAAGTCTAGATTACGATATGAAATATACAAATCAATAACAATAACAACATTAGTAGTTTACTCTATATATACAATAATTATAAAATAATTATGACTTTTTTTGTCTTATTATTAGTCGTAAACAAAAACCTCAACAAGATTATATTTGGGGGATGCATAAATGATGCATCCCCATGAAAGAATTCACAAGCCCTTAATTTTATATATATATTATTATATATTTCTATATAATTGACACACTTTCATTTCCTATATATCTATTATTACTTCTGTTTCTGCCACATAATCTTGTTTATAAATATTAGTCTCGCACCTTCGACGTTAATTTTTGCTTTATTTGACACAATTTATCTTATTTTATAATCGTAAGTTTTTATTCGTTGTTCAAATATAAAACAAGAGAGAAAAGAAAACCAACAAAAAAAAAAAAAACAAACCAAACTCGCTATCGGCATTGATTTTTATTCGTTACTTCGTTTTTCGATTCTTCATCGTTCGTACTGGAATATCATGCAGAATATCTACAAAATCACAGCAAAGAATAAATAAAAATTTTAGTACAACCAAAATCGCCTTTTTTCGTTTTCAAGAGAGCCTCAGTTTGTAACAGGTAAGAACTAAAATTTACTTATAAAATTTGCAATTCCTATAATACAATGAGATTTTAATCTAACCTGGAGTTTACACAAGACAAATTGTCTTTAATCAGAGCTTAATGTCTGGTATTTTTAAAAAACAGTAAGTGCTAACAAATTTTAAAATTGCTTTTAAACAATAATAATATCATAGAGAAATAAATACTAACGTACACAAATAGAATTTTAATTTAGAATTTATGCTGCACTGTGCTGCAGGTTATTAAGACATAATACCCTGAATTTGTTTGTAATAACATGCAAAAGAAAACAAGATAGACCCATAATTTATTTTTACACAACAATCACAATTTTATTCGATTTTTAGATTCAAGTCCGACCGTCTGCCTGTTCATAAACTTTTGGTAAGAATCGGATCGGATTAAGACGTGTCTTCATATATTTTTTCGCCCAAATAGGATGAGTTTTGAATGTCAAAGAAAATAGGGTCAGATATAAACGAAAACATATTCAATCTAAAAATACCTTAACCAAATGTTGCCAAGATTGGTTAAGATTTGTATATAACTCCCGGAAGTGGGCGGAAGAAAACAGCAACATTAACAGAAATGGTTCCAAAAAGTAAAGAAGCGACTTTATCGCAACCCACGTCGCAGTGGCCGAAAAATGACTTATGAGCTGAACATATCGCAATATTCCATTTGGCAAATATTGAAAAATGAGCTCGGGGTAAAACCATTGAAATTCCAAAAAGTGCAAGAACTTACACGGCAACAGAAAAAAAATAGTCTCAAAAGAGCTAAAGAGTTGCTTCGCTTGGCCGAATGTGGTGAACTGCCGAATTTGGTTTTCTCCGATGAGAAAACAGCAGTTTGTGAACAAATAAAATGATCGTGTTTACTTGCCAAAGAGTTCAGCTTAAAACGTGCACCCTCTTTTGGCCACCAGAACTTAAGCGCCGGCCATGGTGATGGTGTGGATCGCCATAACAGCCGATGGTCGCTCTCCGTGGCATCAGAATAAATGACGAATATTATCGCGAAAATATTCTGGAGGGTGTAATAAAGCCTTGGGCACGCAAACATTTTGGCCGCAGACCTTGGGCATTCCAACAGGACTCAGCACCCGCCACCCAAGAATGGTTTCAAAATGAGGTTCCTCGCTTCATTTCCAGTGCACAATGACCACCAAAATCTCCGGATACCAATCCGTTGGACTATTGTGTCTGTGGAGTATTTTGGAAAGCAAGGTTAGCACTAAAAAATACCAAAGTGTCGATCACCTCAAGCAAGCGCTTCGCCGGGTATTAGCCAAAATACCGCAGATCAACATTCGGGCAGTGTGTGACGGTTTCATTGGCCGTTTGAAGGCCATAACTCGTGACAAAGTGACCAAGTGAGTCGCAAGTGAAATAAAGTTTACTCCCCGTTCCTTAGTAAAACGAGCTGATGACTGCCTTCGCCTCCAAAACACAGTAAAAAAACACATGCGACTTGTATATTTTCGAACAGTTTTTATTTATATTAATATCCAATTAATGTACTTCTTATCTTATAGATAGATGTATTGAAAATCAACTTTCAAACGATTTTCTTTTTGGGGGGCAGGGGGTTTGTTTTTATAAAATTGTAATTATACATATTAAGAACGAGAAATTTTAGAATCAAAACACAACAATGCCTTAAGTATTCATTGGTTTGCACAAAAATTAAGACATAATACAAAAAACATCACATGAAAAATGTTGAAATGTAACCATGTATATTTTATTGAGAAAATTGTGCAAACCAAAAAATATTTCTGGTAGTTGGTGCTGGCTAAAATACAAAAAGAAAAAAAATATTTCAAATTACTAAACATATTTTGTTTTTCTTTGCCTTATAAATTAAAAAGTCTACAATTAAAATCCAAAGAGGGTATGGTCTAATTTTATAAAAAGGGGTTCTTAGCGTTTTGTAAAATCAGCCATAACCGATTTTTTTTAATACAAATATATACATAGAACTATTGGAGGTTATTTCAAAAGGAAATGTGATTTAAATGAAAATAAATATGATTATATAAAATAATACGAAGAAATTGTCGCATTATTATTATTATTATTTTTAATTTACAAAACCGGATGATACCAAACAACTTTACCACTTTTACAACCGGTTGCCAGCAATGGCTCTGTTGGACTGAATTTTGTGCTAAGAACCTTGTCGTCGTGACATCGCAGTTCTTTCAACACACATAGTGTGCGGGGCTTTTGTTTGATTGTTTCGATTTCCTGAAAATGTTGTGGATACTCTGAACTGGTTTCCGTATAGCCCAACAATCGTACACCATTGTCATAGGGCGAGCAAACAATACGACCATCAGCCGAAAAACTCGGCTCTTTAATGAATCCCTTACCTTTGTTGGGTTCTTGAATGTAATACATTAGCTTTTTGGGATTTTCAAAGATTTTCCTTTCCCGATTGTAGTAATTGTTACGTTTCAGTGGTATGATTAATGGACGCACACGTATGCGACCAAGTGGTAAATACGGTGGGGAATCACTGCTGGATGTACTGCTGCCATCGGTTGAATTCGCTGCTGCATCTGATCGATACGAACGCCCTGATCTTCTCGATGGGGAATCTGATGAACGATTGTTTGTACTATCATTGCCACTGCGATTGGAGGAGGCTGAGGCAGCTATTGCTGGGAGTACGCCACTGCTAATGGCATATACATAATTATATCCGGTAACGGCATTTGAATTGCGGGGGCGATTTTGGCGTATTGCACGTTCTTGTACAGTAACCTCAGCGGCCCAAATGTCGGGGACGAATGTTTGATTTGAAGCTGCAGCCGCCGCAGCTGTTGTTGATTGGGGTTGACTACTTGGGACAGTATTATTTGCAGTAGAGGAACTTGAAGAAGACGATGCTGATGGTAAAGTTGGAGGTGGAGGGGGTGGTGCTGTGTAAAAGAAAAACGAACAAACAATTTTTATTCATTTATTTTTTGGATCACATGTATATAGGGTGAGATAAAAAACAGCAACAAAGTCAAATGCCATAATTTTTACATTTTTTTGTAAAATTTATTGAATGAAAGCAAAAAATGTCGGAAATAGCATCAAATTTTAGAATAAGTTTAGATTTGTTCGAATTGGTAACCTTTGGCACGAATTATGGCCTTCAAACGGCCAATGAAATCGTCACACGCTGACCGAATGTTGCTCAGCGCTACTTTGTCACATTCCCGGCGAAGCGCTTGCTTGAGGTGATAGACACTTTGGTATTTTTTAGTGCCAACCTTTCTTTCCGGTATTTTGGCCCATTCCCGACGAAGCGCTTGCTTGAGGTGATCGACACTTTGGTATTTTTAGTGCCAACCTTGCTTTCCAAAATACTCCTGACACAAAAGTCCAACGGATTGGTATCCGGAGATTTTGGTGGCCATTGTGCACTGGAAATGAAGCGAAGAACCTCATTTTGAAATCATTCTTCGGTGGCGCGTGCTGAGTGCGACGGTGCTGAGTCCTGTTGGAATGCCCAAGGTCTGCGGCCAAAATGTTTGCGTGCCCAAGGCTTTATTACACCCTCCAGAATATTTTCGCGGTATTTATTCTGATGCCACGGTTGATTAATACGAGCGGAGAGCGACCATCGACTGTTATGGCGGTCCACACCAACACCATGGCCGGCGCTTAAGTTCTGGTGGCCAAACGAGGGTGCACATTTTAAGCTGACCTCTTTGGCAAGTAAACACGATCATTTTATTTGTTCACAAACTGCTGTTTTCTCATCGAAGAAAACCAAATTCGGCAGTTCACCACTTTCGGCCAAGCGAAGCAACTCTTTAGCTCTTTTGAGACTATTTTCTTTCTGTTGCCGTGTAAGTTCTTGAACTTTTTGGAATCTCAGTGGCTTTACCCCGAGCTTATTTTTCAACATTTGCCGAATGGAATATTGCGATATGTTCAGCTCACGAGCCATTTTCGGCCACTGTGACGAGGGTCTCGATCATGTCGCTTCTTTACTTTTCGAACCATTTCTTCTGATATTGCTGTTTTTTCTTCCGCCCACTCAATTGACGTCGGACTACGCTACCAGTATCACGATAACGAGCGATGGTACGAGACACCAAAGATTTATTCACATTTAAATTCTGGAGTGCTCTAACGATAGCCACTTGTGGTTTTCCAGCCAAATATAAAGAAATCACAATATCACGCTTGAATTCCATAACAAATAACTTTTTTTTCTGGAAAATTCTCACCAAAATGCTTTTGTACGCTTCTAAACAATATAATGAGCTGTCACTGGAATAATTTTAACAACTGTCGGATGAGTGGCTTAGAAATTACAGCAGTCTGAAGTTGGTTGTAGTTTTTTCATCTCACCCCGTATTAATCTACTATGGAACTGACGGTTCCTCATATTGTACACCACCACCTATATGGTAGATATTTGTTTTACTTACCACCACGTCCTGGAAGACGAGGTCTTAATACACGTTGTCGACGATTTATACTGAACAGTAAATCATCTGTAGAATCGCCACTTTCATCACCACCAGCACCCATGCCACTTTGTGATTCATCTTCACTCTCACAGACTAATTTACGTTTTCTTTTCGAACTTTGATGTTCCTCCTGTACCTGTTCGGTAATATCAGTTGGTTCTTCGTTTATATCGTGGATACATGACCATTCAGTCTTCTCATCATAGCTTATATTACGGCTTAATATTGAATGTCCTAAAGGATGGATCTAGAGAACAAGAAAAATTGTTTATTCTTTCATAGTTAATATTCCTAGTAGCCTTGGGATAAACTTACTTGCAAAGCTAATATAACTTCAGCATCGTTTTCTTCGGGAAAATCGGTCACCAATTCAACACGATTTTTCTTTTGCTTCTTGGAAAATACATGATCAAATTTGGCCGCTTGGGGTATATACTGATGACCCATTTGCATTAAACGATAAATGCTGGGCTGTAATATACCAATATGTTGATATAAATTTTTCGTTTTTAAATTAAAACATATATCTGCAACTTACCCTAAATCCATTTAAATCCTTATGCAATGAGGTCAAGTCTAAATGATGTATTATCATAAGATAGCCTCCTGTCGAACAAATTACCAGTTTTGTACAATCTGGAGAAATGCGGCAGCGCATTAATCCGCTAGTGTGAAAAACTTTTTGATATATAAGACCCTGTTCTGTGTGGGAATTAATGTCCCATGTAAATATGCTTCCATCGAAACCAGATGTCACCAATAGATTATCTTTGTGTGAATATTCAATATTTTTCACCCAATTAGAATGACCATGTAAACTTCGAACTTTCTTCTTCAGGAATCTTAAATCCCACAAAGCAACTGTTGTATCATCGGAGCAAGTGGCAAACATACGTTCATCTAGAAATCTAAAGAAACATTAGAAATGTTTAAAAATTAAGTCCATGAATGTTGGAGATTTTCAATATTAGATAAGATGAACCATATTTCAGAACTATCTTCAATTTGTTTGACTTGTAAGACCCATGATTACGATCATATCACATGGCTCGCTAACATCTGCTGACGAGTTCAAACTAATGAGCAAACTCTGTATGACCAGCCTTAACTTTGCACTACACTTTTTCTTTTGCAATTCCTTGGAATATTTGCAAAAAAAATCAACAATTCCAACTTACTTGATACAATTCACATTGTCATTGTGCGCATCCTTGATGTGATATGTCTGCTTCTGTGTTACCGTATCAAAAAATAGTATTGACTTCTTTTCGCAGGCAGCTACCAAGACATTACTATATATGGAAATGTATAAAACAAGAACGAAGATATTTCACTAACAAAATAACAATGTAGCTGTCGATTATAATATTAACCCTTTGGGAGAAAATTCCAAATTGAAAACAGCTCCATAATCTGAGGTTTGATTTGGTATATCGTTCCAGTGTTCGAAATCGGTCAGCGATCCATAGACCAAATTCATAACATTATCAAAATCTCCACGCATGGACCTCAGGCCATATTCTCTCCGATACAGCCATCTGTGAAGGCTCATTCTAAAAAGAACACTAGTTGTGTCCAATATCTTTGGGATGGGCAAAAAAGATAGACCTTAAGTACTTGTCTCAACCGGCTGGAAAAGCGTAGTCTTGTTTAGAAGTTTAATTTCTGAATAAGTCTTATTGCGATTGTTCGTTTGTAATAGTTTTTCTGGTCTTCTGCGATATTGCGTGTCTACAGTTTACTGGCTAACGGTTTATTTAGCAAACAATAAACAAATAATTTCAAGGATTATTGAGGAATTTATTATTTAGTTAATTTGTTTAATTTGTTGTTTTCACACAGCGAAACGAAGAGTGAAATCAGTATATTTTTCCTTGACAGTTAGTGGGCTGACAGCTGTTTTGGGGCCACTTCAGAAACAAGGTTGCCAATGCAATCGAAAGATCTTAAATACCCGACATGTTCATGTGCATGATACTGTGCAGTACACGTGCTGTGAAAAAATAAGGCCTGTCATATACGATTTTCAGTAACAATAATTGAGGATATACTAGTTTTACAACTTTTTACTCGGAACACGTCACTTCATAATATTTTCTAATTTTTTAATGTTTACTATGAGAACGAAGGAACATCAATCCTGCTATCATGGCACAATAAAGGGCTAAGTACATAAGAAGCTTGAAGTCATGGCTAGGCATATTAATGTCAAAATATAATGGAAAACGACGGCTGGATTTTAGTGCGGCTCTGTAATCCCTTTGTGAAATATCACAAAATATGCCTAGCCATGACTTCAAGCTTCTTATGTACTTTGCCCTTAAGAGGTAAAAATTTCGGAAGTATTTACTATTAAAATACAACCGAGAGTTGGTGCCCGGTTTGAGTCTATTTTCTTTCAGTTGCGGTTTAAGCTTTTGTACTTTTTGGAATTACCCCGAGCTCATATTCCGAATGGAATATTGCGATATGTTCAGCTCACCAGCCATTTTTCGGTCACTGCGACGTGGGTTTCGATCAAGTCGCTTCTTTACTTTTCGAACCATTTCTGCTGATATTGCTGTTTTCTTCCGCTCACTTAATTGACGTCTGGCTACGCTACCAGCATCACGGTAACGAGCGATGGTACGAGACACAAAAGATTTATTCACATTTAAATGCTGGAGTGCTCTAATGATAGCCACTTGCGGTTTTCCGGCCAAATATAAAGAAATCACACTATCACGCTTGAATTCCATCACGAATAACTTTTTTTCTGGAAAATTCTCACCAAAATGCTTTAGTACGCTTCTAAACAATATAATGAGCTGTCACTGGAATAATTTTAACAACTGTCAGATGAGTGGCTTAGAAATGACAACAGTCTGAAGTTAGTTGCAGTTTTTTTCATCTCACCTGACTGACAAAGACACGTATTAATCCGATTTTCAAAGCCTGAGGGCGACTCACGGTTACTATTTAAAAGAAGGAAAATGTCATCTGCGTATTGAAAAGTTTTGTATGACTCGGAGTCAGTGACATCCTCAAGGTCATTTACAAACAATATAAATAGAAGTTGACCTAATACCGACTCCTGCGGTATACCACTATAGGCCAAAACAGTATCTGACAGTTTTTTATAATTCCTAATTAATTTATTAAAGGAAAAATTGGTAGAATAACTTACATACTCCGCTCAAAACATGATATCTTAATACCTTCAGATGTCAACTCGAAAAAAGGCCGAGGAAAAATTGATCAAAATAATTGGGGAATATTTTTAGATATACAATGAAATCAGAGATTTCTTTCTTTCGTGACTTGTAGTGAAATTTGATGTTTTTGACGTCTTCCTTTCGAAAGGATGCTTTGTTGCACACAAAGCGCGGCTTTGGCCCTAAAATGTATATTTAAAATATATATAAATTCCAGACCTATAGGTAATATTAAGGCTCTTGGCGTCGTCTAAGACCTATAATATAATTTTATGAATGTTTTTACTTCAGGAGTTTTTAACCGTATTAAGAAAATGACCAAAAAACGCCCTTGTTGACTCTTTTGAGGGTTAAAGTTTTCGACTAAAATATTCCTCGCATTGTAACTTGTAACATTGCACGGAATCCGAGTAATCTGGATAAAAAATCTTTCAAATAGCCGATAAAGGATCTCCTTGTTATAATTGACTGCCACATTTAAAAATTGAGAATTTTGCAAAGACCCATATTTTTCATATTTTGTGCTCAATTCTTCTTGAAATTCTTCAATAGTTTAGCTTTAGTGCATATCAAATTACATATAGAATCCAGTATTACTCTCATAGAAGAAAAAACCGCGAAATTTCCTAAATTTCACGAACAAAATCACTATTTGTTCTATAAGGCGCCAAAAAATCGCCATGTCACCAAATCAAAAATGAAGTCGCAAAACACATTGAAAAATCGCCACGTTTGGTTAAAAAATGCCATGTCTGACAACCCTGCTTAAAGCGTATTCAGATAATACAGCCGTACAAAATTCAACGCAGCATTTTCGTATGATCCCCAATCCGACCAGTTTTGCCATGTAGCATTAATTGCAATCCATTCTGATACACTTTAAACAAGAAGAGGCATTGAAACGTATGACAATGTAAACATTAAACATGAATCCAACATTTTAGTAAGATCCCCAATTCGACCAATTTTTGTCATGTGGCATTACTTGTTAGTCATTCTGATACACTTTAATTAAGAAGATGCATTTAAACATATGACAACGTAAACAGTAAACATTGTAAACATCGTACTATATAAACAAAAAAATCTTAAATTTTTAAATTATATCAATAAACAACAGCAATGATAGGCCCAGCAACCACAAAAGATAAGTTATTAAAACTTATGTCCGAAAAGGAAAACTTGGAAATACAAATAAATGCCTACGGAAACGTTTTGGCAGAGGTATAAAGTTGTCTTTCCACTTAGCATCAAAGAAATGACTGTGCATTTTTTTCAATTATGGATTTATTTTATATATTTTTTTGTATCTTAGAATGATAATGTTGGCATGCATGGACCATTAGTCGATTCAGAAGGATTCCCACGCAATGATATTGATATTTATAAAGTTCGTCAGGCCAGGCAACAAATTATCTGTTTGCAAAACAATCACAAGACCCTAATGAAATCCATTGAGGAGCTAATGCACAAATTGCATGCCGAGACTAGACAAGAGGAACAGCAGAATTTAACCCAACAAACGTCCCAATTAAATATAAATGGCAGTTCCAGTGATAATTCGGAGGAAATGGACGCAACGGTAAATGGTTTGAGACCAGTAGTACCAATTGTGAAAATAACCCATGTTGACGCTGGATCGCCGGCAGAAAGAGCAGTAAGATAAATAACGATAATTGTGCCCTATTTTTATTCATGTTTGATCACTTTTCCAGGGTCTGAGAAGCCAGGATCGCATAGCCGAATTCGGTTCAGTCAATGCTGATAACTTTAATAAGCAGCTATCCACAATTGGAAGTATTGTTAGCCATAAACGCGACCAAAGAATACCATTAAAAGTTTTGCGAAATAATGAAATTCTGGATATAGTCTTAATACCACAACGATGGTCGGGCAATGGCTTGTTGGGCTGTAATATTGTTCTATCTGAATGAATCGTTTGCATGTAATAAACCATCATTATGTTATAAATGTATACAAAGGGAATTTAATAAATAAAAAAATATATATCTTTTTGGAAATGAATGAAGTGAAATTTGGTGAGATTTTTAGAATTTTATTCAATTCATAAATTGATTATGATCGGTGTGTAATATAGCCCAATAATTTGTACAAGAGTCCAGTATACGAGAGCGCCTTAAGAGATAAAAATTAACTATTACATTGCTGATAGTTTGCAAGTTCTTTCAAGCAGATTAAAAATCAAATAGTTTGTGATCGTTGTGAAAATAAGTATGTACATTGTGAAAAGAAGTATGTAAGTATATATGCCCAGCAAAAATTGCTCAGTAGCCTGTACTGAGCAAAACAAACAACATTTTCTAAAATTATGCGTTATTCGAATCAAATTGCAACTTCTGTATTGTACACTTAGTTTTTTAATGTTATAATAAAATGTTTATTATCTGTAAAATAATTAAAATATTTACTGAGTTTTTTCAAACTAAATTTTTCTGCAATATTTTAAGTAACTCAACTGTTGAAATTACTCTCCCTTTCCTCGCTCTGATTTACTGGAATTAATCCGAACAGGATAATTGTGCACTTTGGGCTTCAGATATTCGTTTTATATAGTAGGTTCCCAAACATTTTCTTGAATCAATATACTTTTTTTGAATATCCTTCATAAATTTTGTCGGAATTTATCCTAGGAGAAAAATATTGCACATTTTTTAAATATTCAAATTCTGTGCAGACCCTTATAAAATTTTAATTTAAACATGTAAATAAGCTCGAATGGGTCGAACTTTTAATATACTCTACCATTTGGAAAAAAATTGCAAATTGTAAAAATTCCGTTGAAAAGTGCCGCTAACTTCTTAAAAAATCGCGATTATCAGGTGTTACGTTTATATGGGTTTGAGATAATTCTGTTGAAAATGTAGCTCAAATCATTCAAATACCGGAAAATGGGAGGTGCCGTTATTTGGCGGCTTTACAAAGACATGGATCTGCTCAGATAGTATTCTGTAATAGGAAGTAGTGGTACAATGGTACAATAAGGAGTTAGGACAGCTTCGTATACAGCCCTGATGCTATGCCCCTTTCAGAACTACAGGAAAAAAGTTGTTTACATTTATTTGATTTTTTGTTCGTTCTTAAAATGAGTCAAATAGCGCGAAAGGTGAATGAAATGCCTGGATGTTCTCTCAAATATATGATCAAATCTGATTAATATCATTAATGTAAGCCCGGCAATTTAAGTTTCTTGCAATCATTGATTTTAAAAATATTTCGTTTTTATTTTTCAAAACAACAAATACATACACAAAATTTTGCAGAAGTCGGACACACTTAGAAAAAATTGTAATAAGCCGGTAGCTCTACCTTACCTTTTTACTTTACCATGGTAGTACCCATTGTGAACTCCAAATTTGAAATAATTCCTGTAAAAAGTGTAGCTAAAATTATTAAAATACCGAATAAAAGGTAGCCTTATATGGAGGTTATACGAAGACATGGACCTATATAAGCAATTTTCTGTCAGTGGAGGTGGTATTCATTGCTAATACCAAAATTGATACAATTCCGGTGAAAATATTACACAAATCAGCCAAATATCGAATATCGAAATTCACATTGTCATTGTGCGCATCCTTGATGTGATATGTCTGCTTCTGTGTTACCGTATCAAAAAATAGTATTGACTTCTTTTCGCAGGCAGCTACCAAGACATTACTATATATGGAAATGTATAAAACAAGAACGAAGATATTTCACTAACAAAATAACAATGTAGCTGTCGATTATAATATTAACCCTTTGGGAGAAAATTCCAAATTGAAAACAGCTCCATAATCTGAGGTTTGATTTGGTATATCGTTCCAGTGTTCGAAATCGGTCAGCGATCCATAGACCAAATTCATAACATTATCAAAATCTCCACGCATGGACCTCAGGCCATATTCTCTCCGATACAGCCATCTGTGAAGGCTCATTCTAAAAAGAACACTAGTTGTGTCCAATATCTTTGGGATGGGCAAAAAAGATAGACCTTAAGTACTTGTCTCAACCGGCTGGAAAAGCGTAGTCTTGTTTAGAAGTTTAATTTCTGAATAAGTCTTATTGCGATTGTTCGTTTGTAATAGTTTTTCTGGTCTTCTGCGATATTGCGTGTCTACAGTTTACTGGCTAACGGTTTATTTAGCAAACAATAAACAAATAATTTCAAGGATTATTGAGGAATTTATTATTTAGTTAATTTGTTTAATTTGTTGTTTTCACACAGCGAAACGAAGAGTGAAATCAGTATATTTTTCCTTGACAGTTAGTGGGCTGACAGCTGTTTTGGGGCCACTTCAGAAACAAGGTTGCCAATGCAATCGAAAGATCTTAAATACCCGACATGTTCATGTGCATGATACTGTGCAGTACACGTGCTGTGAAAAAATAAGGCCTGTCATATACGATTTTCAGTAACAATAATTGAGGATATACTAGTTTTACAACTTTTTACTCGGAACACGTCACTTCATAATATTTTCTAATTTTTTAATGTTTACTATGAGAACGAAGGAACATCAATCCTGCTATCATGGCACAATAAAGGGCTAAGTACATAAGAAGCTTGAAGTCATGGCTAGGCATATTAATGTCAAAATATAATGGAAAACGACGGCTGGATTTTAGTGCGGCTCTGTAATCCCTTTGTGAAATATCACAAAATATGCCTAGCCATGACTTCAAGCTTCTTATGTACTTTGCCCTTAAGAGGTAAAAATTTCGGAAGTATTTACTATTAAAATACAACCGAGAGTTGGTGCCCGGTTTGAGTCTATTTTCTTTCAGTTGCGGTTTAAGCTTTTGTACTTTTTGGAATTACCCCGAGCTCATATTCCGAATGGAATATTGCGATATGTTCAGCTCACCAGCCATTTTTCGGTCACTGCGACGTGGGTTTCGATCAAGTCGCTTCTTTACTTTTCGAACCATTTCTGCTGATATTGCTGTTTTCTTCCGCTCACTTAATTGACGTCTGGCTACGCTACCAGCATCACGGTAACGAGCGATGGTACGAGACACAAAAGATTTATTCACATTTAAATGCTGGAGTGCTCTAATGATAGCCACTTGCGGTTTTCCGGCCAAATATAAAGAAATCACACTATCACGCTTGAATTCCATCACGAATAACTTTTTTTCTGGAAAATTCTCACCAAAATGCTTTAGTACGCTTCTAAACAATATAATGAGCTGTCACTGGAATAATTTTAACAACTGTCAGATGAGTGGCTTAGAAATGACAACAGTCTGAAGTTAGTTGCAGTTTTTTTCATCTCACCTGACTGACAAAGACACGTATTAATCCGATTTTCAAAGCCTGAGGGCGACTCACGGTTACTATTTAAAAGAAGGAAAATGTCATCTGCGTATTGAAAAGTTTTGTATGACTCGGAGTCAGTGACATCCTCAAGGTCATTTACAAACAATATAAATAGAAGTTGACCTAATACCGACTCCTGCGGTATACCACTATAGGCCAAAACAGTATCTGACAGTTTTTTATAATTCCTAATTAATTTATTAAAGGAAAAATTGGTAGAATAACTTACATACTCCGCTCAAAACATGATATCTTAATACCTTCAGATGTCAACTCGAAAAAAGGCCGAGGAAAAATTGATCAAAATAATTGGGGAATATTTTTAGATATACAATGAAATCAGAGATTTCTTTCTTTCGTGACTTGTAGTGAAATTTGATGTTTTTGACGTCTTCCTTTCGAAAGGATGCTTTGTTGCACACAAAGCGCGGCTTTGGCCCTAAAATGTATATTTAAAATATATATAAATTCCAGACCTATAGGTAATATTAAGGCTCTTGGCGTCGTCTAAGACCTATAATATAATTTTATGAATGTTTTTACTTCAGGAGTTTTTAACCGTATTAAGAAAATGACCAAAAAACGCCCTTGTTGACTCTTTTGAGGGTTAAAGTTTTCGACTAAAATATTCCTCGCATTGTAACTTGTAACATTGCACGGAATCCGAGTAATCTGGATAAAAAATCTTTCAAATAGCCGATAAAGGATCTCCTTGTTATAATTGACTGCCACATTTAAAAATTGAGAATTTTGCAAAGACCCATATTTTTCATATTTTGTGCTCAATTCTTCTTGAAATTCTTCAATAGTTTAGCTTTAGTGCATATCAAATTACATATAGAATCCAGTATTACTCTCATAGAAGAAAAAACCGCGAAATTTCCTAAATTTCACGAACAAAATCACTATTTGTTCTATAAGGCGCCAAAAAATCGCCATGTCACCAAATCAAAAATGAAGTCGCAAAACACATTGAAAAATCGCCACGTTTGGTTAAAAAATGCCATGTCTGACAACCCTGCTTAAAGCGTATTCAGATAATACAGCCGTACAAAATTCAACGCAGCATTTTCGTATGATCCCCAATCCGACCAGTTTTGCCATGTAGCATTAATTGCAATCCATTCTGATACACTTTAAACAAGAAGAGGCATTGAAACGTATGACAATGTAAACATTAAACATGAATCCAACATTTTAGTAAGATCCCCAATTCGACCAATTTTTGTCATGTGGCATTACTTGTTAGTCATTCTGATACACTTTAATTAAGAAGATGCATTTAAACATATGACAACGTAAACAGTAAACATTGTAAACATCGTACTATATAAACAAAAAAATCTTAAATTTTTAAATTATATCAATAAACAACAGCAATGATAGGCCCAGCAACCACAAAAGATAAGTTATTAAAACTTATGTCCGAAAAGGAAAACTTGGAAATACAAATAAATGCCTACGGAAACGTTTTGGCAGAGGTATAAAGTTGTCTTTCCACTTAGCATCAAAGAAATGACTGTGCATTTTTTTCAATTATGGATTTATTTTATATATTTTTTTGTATCTTAGAATGATAATGTTGGCATGCATGGACCATTAGTCGATTCAGAAGGATTCCCACGCAATGATATTGATATTTATAAAGTTCGTCAGGCCAGGCAACAAATTATCTGTTTGCAAAACAATCACAAGACCCTAATGAAATCCATTGAGGAGCTAATGCACAAATTGCATGCCGAGACTAGACAAGAGGAACAGCAGAATTTAACCCAACAAACGTCCCAATTAAATATAAATGGCAGTTCCAGTGATAATTCGGAGGAAATGGACGCAACGGTAAATGGTTTGAGACCAGTAGTACCAATTGTGAAAATAACCCATGTTGACGCTGGATCGCCGGCAGAAAGAGCAGTAAGATAAATAACGATAATTGTGCCCTATTTTTATTCATGTTTGATCACTTTTCCAGGGTCTGAGAAGCCAGGATCGCATAGCCGAATTCGGTTCAGTCAATGCTGATAACTTTAATAAGCAGCTATCCACAATTGGAAGTATTGTTAGCCATAAACGCGACCAAAGAATACCATTAAAAGTTTTGCGAAATAATGAAATTCTGGATATAGTCTTAATACCACAACGATGGTCGGGCAATGGCTTGTTGGGCTGTAATATTGTTCTATCTGAATGAATCGTTTGCATGTAATAAACCATCATTATGTTATAAATGTATACAAAGGGAATTTAATAAATAAAAAAATATATATCTTTTTGGAAATGAATGAAGTGAAATTTGGTGAGATTTTTAGAATTTTATTCAATTCATAAATTGATTATGATCGGTGTGTAATATAGCCCAATAATTTGTACAAGAGTCCAGTATACGAGAGCGCCTTAAGAGATAAAAATTAACTATTACATTGCTGATAGTTTGCAAGTTCTTTCAAGCAGATTAAAAATCAAATAGTTTGTGATCGTTGTGAAAATAAGTATGTACATTGTGAAAAGAAGTATGTAAGTATATATGCCCAGCAAAAATTGCTCAGTAGCCTGTACTGAGCAAAACAAACAACATTTTCTAAAATTATGCGTTATTCGAATCAAATTGCAACTTCTGTATTGTACACTTAGTTTTTTAATGTTATAATAAAATGTTTATTATCTGTAAAATAATTAAAATATTTACTGAGTTTTTTCAAACTAAATTTTTCAGCAATATTTTAAGTAACTCAACTGTTGAAATTACTCTCCCTTTCCTCGCTCTGATTTACTGGAATTAATCCGAACAGGATAATTGTGCACTTTGGGCTTCAGATATTCGTTTTATATAGTAGGTTCCCAAACATTTTCTTGAATCAATATACTTTTTTTGAATATCCTTCATAAATTTTGTCGGAATTTATCCTAGGAGAAAAATATTGCACATTTTTTAAATATTCAAATTCTGTGCAGACCCTTATAAAATTTTAATTTAAACATGTAAATAAGCTCGAATGGGTCGAACTTTTAATATACTCTACCATTTGGAAAAAAATTGCAAATTGTAAAAATTCCGTTGAAAAGTGCCGCTAACTTCTTAAAAAATCGCGATTATCAGGTGTTACGTTTATATGGGTTTGAGATAATTCTGTTGAAAATGTAGCTCAAATCATTCAAATACCGGAAAATGGGAGGTGCCGTTATTTGGCGGCTTTACAAAGACATGGATCTGCTCAGATAGTATTCTGTAATAGGAAGTAGTGGTACAATGGTACAATAAGGAGTTAGGACAGCTTCGTATACAGCCCTGATGCTATGCCCCTTTCAGAACTACAGGAAAAAAGTTGTTTACATTTATTTGATTTTTTGTTCGTTCTTAAAATGAGTCAAATAGCGCGAAAGGTGAATGAAATGCCTGGATGTTCTCTCAAATATATGATCAAATCTGATTAATATCATTAATGTAAGCCCGGCAATTTAAGTTTCTTGCAATCATTGATTTTAAAAATATTTCGTTTTTATTTTTCAAAACAACAAATACATACACAAAATTTTGCAGAAGTCGGACACACTTAGAAAAAATTGTAATAAGCCGGTAGCTCTACCTTACCTTTTTACTTTACCATGGTAGTACCCATTGTGAACTCCAAATTTGAAATAATTCCTGTAAAAAGTGTAGCTAAAATTATTAAAATACCGAATAAAAGGTAGCCTTATATGGAGGTTATACGAAGACATGGACCTATATAAGCAATTTTCTGTCAGTGGAGGTGGTATTCATTGCTAATACCAAAATTGATACAATTCCGGTGAAAATATTACACAAATCAGCCAAATATCGAATATCGAAATTCACATTGTCATTGTGCGCATCCTTGATGTGATATGTCTGCTTCTGTGTTACCGTATCAAAAAATAGTATTGACTTCTTTTCGCAGGCAGCTACCAAGACATTACTATATGGAAATGTATAAAACAAGAACGAAGATATTTCACTAACAAAATAACAATGTAGCTGTCGATTATAATATTAACCCTTTGGGAGAAAATTCCAAATTGAAAACAGCTCCATAATCTGAGGTTTGATTTGGTATATCGTTCCAGTGTTCGAAATCGGTCAGCGATCCATAGACCAAATTCATAACATTATCAAAATCTCCACGCATGGACCTCAGGCCATATTCTCTCCGATACAGCCATCTGTGAAGGCTCATTCTAAAAAGAACACTAGTTGTGTCCAATATCTTTGGGATGGGCAAAAAAGATAGACCTTAAGTACTTGTCTCAACCGGCTGGAAAAGCGTAGTCTTGTTTAGAAGTTTAATTTCTGAATAAGTCTTATTGCGATTGTTCGTTTGTAATAGTTTTTCTGGTCTTCTGCGATATTGCGTGTCTACAGTTTACTGGCTAACGGTTTATTTAGCAAACAATAAACAAATAATTTCAAGGATTATTGAGGAATTTATTATTTAGTTAATTTGTTTAATTTAAGCGAAACGAAGAGTGAAATCAGTATATTTTTCCTTGACAGTTAGTGGGCTGACAGCTGTTTTGGGGCCACTTCAGAAACAAGGTTGCCAATGCAATCGAAAGATCTTAAATACCCGACATGTTCATGTGCATGATACTGTGCAGTACACGTGCTGTGAAAAAATAAGGCCTGTCATATACGATTTTCAGTAACAATAATTGAGGATATACTAGTTTTACAACTTTTTACTCGGAACACGTCACTTCATAATATTTTCTAATTTTTTAATGTTTACTATGAGAACGAAGGAACATCAATCCTGCTATCATGGCACAATAAAGGGCTAAGTACATAAGAAGCTTGAAGTCATGGCTAGGCATATTAATGTCAAAATATAATGGAAAACGACGGCTGGATTTTAGTGCGGCTCTGTAATCCCTTTGTGAAATATCACAAAATATGCCTAGCCATGACTTCAAGCTTCTTATGTACTTTGCCCTTAAGAGGTAAAAATTTCGGAAGTATTTACTATTAAAATACAACCGAGAGTTGGTGCCCGGTTTGAGTCTATTTTCTTTCAGTTGCGGTTTAAGCTTTTGTACTTTTTGGAATTACCCCGAGCTCATATTCCGAATGGAATATTGCGATATGTTCAGCTCACCAGCCATTTTTCGGTCACTGCGACGTGGGTTTCGATCAAGTCGCTTCTTTACTTTTCGAACCATTTCTGCTGATATTGCTGTTTTCTTCCGCTCACTTAATTGACGTCTGGCTACGCTACCAGCATCACGGTAACGAGCGATGGTACGAGACACAAAAGATTTATTCACATTTAAATGCTGGAGTGCTCTAATGATAGCCACTTGCGGTTTTCCGGCCAAATATAAAGAAATCACACTATCACGCTTGAATTCCATCACGAATAACTTTTTTTCTGGAAAATTCTCACCAAAATGCTTTAGTACGCTTCTAAACAATATAATGAGCTGTCACTGGAATAATTTTAACAACTGTCAGATGAGTGGCTTAGAAATGACAACAGTCTGAAGTTAGTTGCAGTTTTTTTCATCTCACCTGACTGACAAAGACACGTATTAATCCGATTTTCAAAGCCTGAGGGCGACTCACGGTTACTATTTAAAAGAAGGAAAATGTCATCTGCGTATTGAAAAGTTTTGTATGACTCGGAGTCAGTGACATCCTCAAGGTCATTTACAAACAATATAAATAGAAGTTGACCTAATACCGACTCCTGCGGTATACCACTATAGGCCAAAACAGTATCTGACAGTTTTTTATAATTCCTAATTAATTTATTAAAGGAAAAATTGGTAGAATAACTTACATACTCCGCTCAAAACATGATATCTTAATACCTTCAGATGTCAACTCGAAAAAAGGCCGAGGAAAAATTGATCAAAATAATTGGGGAATATTTTTAGATATACAATGAAATCAGAGATTTCTTTCTTTCGTGACTTGTAGTGAAATTTGATGTTTTTGACGTCTTCCTTTCGAAAGGATGCTTTGTTGCACACAAAGCGCGGCTTTGGCCCTAAAATGTATATTTAAAATATATATAAATTCCAGACCTATAGGTAATATTAAGGCTCTTGGCGTCGTCTAAGACCTATAATATAATTTTATGAATGTTTTTACTTCAGGAGTTTTTAACCGTATTAAGAAAATGACCAAAAAACGCCCTTGTTGACTCTTTTGAGGGTTAAAGTTTTCGACTAAAATATTCCTCGCATTGTAACTTGTAACATTGCACGGAATCCGAGTAATCTGGATAAAAAATCTTTCAAATAGCCGATAAAGGATCTCCTTGTTATAATTGACTGCCACATTTAAAAATTGAGAATTTTGCAAAGACCCATATTTTTCATATTTTGTGCTCAATTCTTCTTGAAATTCTTCAATAGTTTAGCTTTAGTGCATATCAAATTACATATAGAATCCAGTATTACTCTCATAGAAGAAAAAACCGCGAAATTTCCTAAATTTCACGAACAAAATCACTATTTGTTCTATAAGGCGCCAAAAAATCGCCATGTCACCAAATCAAAAATGAAGTCGCAAAACACATTGAAAAATCGCCACGTTTGGTTAAAAAATGCCATGTCTGACAACCCTGCTTAAAGCGTATTCAGATAATACAGCCGTACAAAATTCAACGCAGCATTTTCGTATGATCCCCAATCCGACCAGTTTTGCCATGTAGCATTAATTGCAATCCATTCTGATACACTTTAAACAAGAAGAGGCATTGAAACGTATGACAATGTAAACATTAAACATGAATCCAACATTTTAGTAAGATCCCCAATTCGACCAATTTTTGTCATGTGGCATTACTTGTTAGTCATTCTGATACACTTTAATTAAGAAGATGCATTTAAACATATGACAACGTAAACAGTAAACATTGTAAACATCGTACTATATAAACAAAAAAATCTTAAATTTTTAAATTATATCAATAAACAACAGCAATGATAGGCCCAGCAACCACAAAAGATAAGTTATTAAAACTTATGTCCGAAAAGGAAAACTTGGAAATACAAATAAATGCCTACGGAAACGTTTTGGCAGAGGTATAAAGTTGTCTTTCCACTTAGCATCAAAGAAATGACTGTGCATTTTTTTCAATTATGGATTTATTTTATATATTTTTTTGTATCTTAGAATGATAATGTTGGCATGCATGGACCATTAGTCGATTCAGAAGGATTCCCACGCAATGATATTGATATTTATAAAGTTCGTCAGGCCAGGCAACAAATTATCTGTTTGCAAAACAATCACAAGACCCTAATGAAATCCATTGAGGAGCTAATGCACAAATTGCATGCCGAGACTAGACAAGAGGAACAGCAGAATTTAACCCAACAAACGTCCCAATTAAATATAAATGGCAGTTCCAGTGATAATTCGGAGGAAATGGACGCAACGGTAAATGGTTTGAGACCAGTAGTACCAATTGTGAAAATAACCCATGTTGACGCTGGATCGCCGGCAGAAAGAGCAGTAAGATAAATAACGATAATTGTGCCCTATTTTTATTCATGTTTGATCACTTTTCCAGGGTCTGAGAAGCCAGGATCGCATAGCCGAATTCGGTTCAGTCAATGCTGATAACTTTAATAAGCAGCTATCCACAATTGGAAGTATTGTTAGCCATAAACGCGACCAAAGAATACCATTAAAAGTTTTGCGAAATAATGAAATTCTGGATATAGTCTTAATACCACAACGATGGTCGGGCAATGGCTTGTTGGGCTGTAATATTGTTCTATCTGAATGAATCGTTTGCATGTAATAAACCATCATTATGTTATAAATGTATACAAAGGGAATTTAATAAATAAAAAAATATATATCTTTTTGGAAATGAATGAAGTGAAATTTGGTGAGATTTTTAGAATTTTATTCAATTCATAAATTGATTATGATCGGTGTGTAATATAGCCCAATAATTTGTACAAGAGTCCAGTATACGAGAGCGCCTTAAGAGATAAAAATTAACTATTACATTGCTGATAGTTTGCAAGTTCTTTCAAGCAGATTAAAAATCAAATAGTTTGTGATCGTTGTGAAAATAAGTATGTACATTGTGAAAAGAAGTATGTAAGTATATATGCCCAGCAAAAATTGCTCAGTAGCCTGTACTGAGCAAAACAAACAACATTTTCTAAAATTATGCGTTATTCGAATCAAATTGCAACTTCTGTATTGTACACTTAGTTTTTTAATGTTATAATAAAATGTTTATTATCTGTAAAATAATTAAAATATTTACTGAGTTTTTTCAAACTAAATTTTTCAGCAATATTTTAAGTAACTCAACTGTTGAAATTACTCTCCCTTTCCTCGCTCTGATTTACTGGAATTAATCCGAACAGGATAATTGTGCACTTTGGGCTTCAGATATTCGTTTTATATAGTAGGTTCCCAAACATTTTCTTGAATCAATATACTTTTTTTGAATATCCTTCATAAATTTTGTCGGAATTTATCCTAGGAGAAAAATATTGCACATTTTTTAAATATTCAAATTCTGTGCAGACCCTTATAAAATTTTAATTTAAACATGTAAATAAGCTCGAATGGGTCGAACTTTTAATATACTCTACCATTTGGAAAAAAATTGCAAATTGTAAAAATTCCGTTGAAAAGTGCCGCTAACTTCTTAAAAAATCGCGATTATCAGGTGTTACGTTTATATGGGTTTGAGATAATTCTGTTGAAAATGTAGCTCAAATCATTCAAATACCGGAAAATGGGAGGTGCCGTTATTTGGCGGCTTTACAAAGACATGGATCTGCTCAGATAGTATTCTGTAATAGGAAGTAGTGGTACAATGGTACAATAAGGAGTTAGGACAGCTTCGTATACAGCCCTGATGCTATGCCCCTTTCAGAACTACAGGAAAAAAGTTGTTTACATTTATTTGATTTTTTGTTCGTTCTTAAAATGAGTCAAATAGCGCGAAAGGTGAATGAAATGCCTGGATGTTCTCTCAAATATATGATCAAATCTGATTAATATCATTAATGTAAGCCCGGCAATTTAAGTTTCTTGCAATCATTGATTTTAAAAATATTTCGTTTTTATTTTTCAAAACAACAAATACATACACAAAATTTTGCAGAAGTCGGACACACTTAGAAAAAATTGTAATAAGCCGGTAGCTCTACCTTACCTTTTTACTTTACCATGGTAGTACCCATTGTGAACTCCAAATTTGAAATAATTCCTGTAAAAAGTGTAGCTAAAATTATTAAAATACCGAATAAAAGGTAGCCTTATATGGAGGTTATACGAAGACATGGACCTATATAAGCAATTTTCTGTCAGTGGAGGTGGTATTCATTGCTAATACCAAAATTGATACAATTCCGGTGAAAATATTACACAAATCAGCCAAATATCGAATATCGAAATTCACATTGTCATTGTGCGCATCCTTGATGTGATATGTCTGCTTCTGTGTTACCGTATCAAAAAATAGTATTGACTTCTTTTCGCAGGCAGCTACCAAGACATTACTATATATGGAAATGTATAAAACAAGAACGAAGATATTTCACTAACAAAATAACAATGTAGCTGTCGATTATAATATTAACCCTTTGGGAGAAAATTCCAAATTGAAAACAGCTCCATAATCTGAGGTTTGATTTGGTATATCGTTCCAGTGTTCGAAATCGGTCAGCGATCCATAGACCAAATTCATAACATTATCAAAATCTCCACGCATGGACCTCAGGCCATATT